CCAGACAGGCGCTGGCATACATGGAAAGAGCACTCCTCCAAGTCCAGATCAATTCTGCACTTCCATTTTGTGTCCTCAACTTGGAAAAAACTCAACCCAAGCAAATGCTTCCCAGGTGTCCTTTCCCCGTGTGATGCCTGGCACCCCAGAGGAGGGGGTGGTGGGAGGCATTTCAGGATCACCAAAAGCAAGATCCTTTTTGGATGTATTTAATGGAAATATCTCTCAGGAGGAGAGACCTCCCAGCCTTTGCATTAATCTCAAGAGCAGGAGACGAATTTCCGGCTGTCCTTGCATATAGTGAAACATAGCTGAAACAGCCAAATGCAAAGTAGAGTTAAATGTAGGGTTTGACCTGAATAACCTTTTAATTAGGAAGATAAATTTGTTGTAGCTTGACCTTAGTCCATGTTAGGAACCTGCTAATCATTTGACATGCAGAGTGTATTAATGCTGCACTTAACTTGGCCATTGGTTTTATTATCCAGTTTTGGGAGTTTTTTCACTCCTAAGGCATCAATCTGCATCTTGTATGGGTTTTCTTTTCTTTCTTTTCTTCCTGTTCAGAACATGTAGCACACTGTTGTACTTCCGTTCCCATCTGCGTAGAGTATTGCCTTAAACAGATCAGTTGTGTTGTGGTTTGTTCTGGATTTTCTTTTTTCTAGCATCAGTTTTATGCATTAATTTATTTTAAAATGTGGGTTTTTTTCGAAAACATGAAACATGTATAATATTTTTTTTAACATTTCCATTGCAGTATTTATCATTGTTACTGGTTGTGTGTAGTGTAACAGAATTAATGATATTAAAAAGCATACATATGAAAACCAGCCTGCCAGCCTTTCTCATTGGAGTGAACCAGGGTGAGAGGGTATGAACTGCACCATCTCCTCTGAGCCCCCAGCAATCACGGATACTGAAATCGGGGGGTGCCAGCCTTCACACCACGGCCAATACCAGCCTGCTTGGGCCCAGTAGAAGCGGCTGGTGTGGAGCTATGCCGTATGGCACAGGTAAACCCGCCGGGGCCAGCCAGCCCCCAGCCAGCATTTGGAAAATGCTCTCCCCAACAGAAGGTGCTTCTGTACGACACCGACGGGTGAAGTAACCTTTTCTGCAGCATTGCAGCCATTTCTGCCCCTTGAAGCTGTTGGCACGAGAGCCAAGCACTGATTTTAAAGTCCAATGCCAGCAGCTGGAAACGCCAGGGACCACCTGGTGACAGCCATGGGGGTGCCAGTGGCTCATGCTGGCAGCCAGTCCAGTACAGGATTAGTTCCCCCGCAAACCAAGAGGCTTGGACTCCACCTCTCTGCAGAGTGGTGCTCCCCAGATCTGTGCCCTGGGGGGCTCCAAGGCCATGGAGCTGGGGATGTGGGGGGGCTAGGCACCCCCATGTCCACCTTTCCTTCCCTGGCTCCCAGAGGGGTGCAGGGCCGATGCAGAGCCTAAGCCTGGCTCAGCAGAGACCAGCGGGGTGTGAAAATCAACAGCAGCTTGTTTTCTTCATTTCATCTCTAACAGTGCATTAATCATGTTGACCTGGAGGCATTCGGGTGCCCCAGGCTTCCCAGCCCCACTGTCGGCCACAGCAAACAGAGCAGGGCTCTGCAGCCTTTCAGGGGGCAGGTTGGCCTCCACCCTGCCAAAATGGACATGGATCTTCACCGATCATCTCCAAAAACATGGCAGCAGAGGAGCCGGAGTCAGGAGCAGAGCAGGGCTCTGAGTTGGCACTGTGAGACAAGCCAGGCCAGAGTGGGGTTTCTGCAGGGGCAGGGATTTCTCTTTGACTCTCCAGCTTGGGGAAAAGCAAACCCAGTTCATGCAAATCCCTCCCTGGCATAACCCAGCTGCCTCTCTGCACTGAGATGGATGAGGATCGCTTACTCTGACTGCAGAGCCCATCACTCAGGACAGAAGAGCAAACAAGCCACACAGGATCAGCTAAATCCAGCTTTTTAATGAAAAAGGGGAGACAGAGTAGGCGATAATTCCCCTGGCTACCGGAGGAGGCTGGGACAGCAGTGCCTGGTGCTGTGCCCTAGGCACTGGCTGCACTGGTGTGGTGGTGTGTGCACACAGCTGGGTTGCTGCAGGATTTCCAAGGAAATATGGGAGGGGCTGGAAAAGCCACAATCACTGCTCCTGCACCTCCCAAAATAAAATTATCTTGACTAGGACTAGCTGAAACTGTTTCCTACCATTGTTAAGGTAATGGCCTGCAGGAGAGGAGGAAGTGGAGCCAGGACAAAGCCAGGAGGGTGCAGCCCATGGGGGGGATGCAGGCAGCAATTGCTGTGCCCTAGGCTAGAACCAGAGCGTAGCTGTGGGACTGACAGAAAGCCACCAAATCCCCCTGCTCCCACACTATGACATCACTAATGACATAAGTGCCCCCCTGGGCTGTGGAGCCAGGAGAAAGCCAGGAGGCTGCAGCCCATGGGGGGATGCAGGCAGCAATTGCTGTGCCCTAGGCTAGAACCAGAGCGTAGCTGTGGGACTGACAGAAAGCCACCAAATCCCCCTGCTCCCACACTATGACATCACTAATGACATAAGTGCCACCCTGGGCTGGCAGAGTGGTGGCACCAGCCCCGTTGTGGGCTGCAAGTCCCCAGCCCCACGCGGTGCTGCTCATACAGTGGACCCTCTGGGACTTCAAGCACTTCTGTCCCAGCAGGCTGCTGCACCATGTTCCTCATCTCCAAAAAACACAAGACCCCCATCAGCACTTACACTGACTCCTACCGCCCACCATGCTCTGTCAAAAAGACCATCCAGGACCAGGGGCCACAGCAGCTCTGGAAAGAAAACAAGTTTGTGACGCAGGTAAATATCACGGGAGGAGGAAGACTCACGGTTTCTACCCCTACCCATCTGCGGATGCTTGGTGCAGGGAGGGGGGTGGCATGGGGACTCACGGGGTGCCTCGCTGCATGTGTGTAATGGAGGGGGTTTGTGCTCCCTGGTTAAGGAAGCGTTTGACACCCCATGGCCTGTGCTCACTGGCTTCTTCTCCCCTGGAGCTGCACCCCGCAGTGGCTTCAGGCTCCCAGGGCTGGCGGTCACCAGCACCAGCTTTCATGCATCAGCGTTGTCTGTTGGTAGGTTTCAGAGTGCGCAGGGGGCAGGATCTGAGGAAGGGGAAACTGAGGCAGTGGCAGGACTCAGCCCAAGGCTGCTGTGTGACACGGTGGCGATGGGGAGGCAGGTCGGGTGGCTCTAAGAGCTGCTCCAACACACAGTCCCCAGGCTCCGCTCAGTTCTGGACTGGGGATCCTTCCATGCCAGGGGGACTATGCAAAGGGCAGGGGGGAGATCTGCGCACTGAAAAAACCCTCCCAGCCCTGGTCCTGGAGGAGGAGGGCTCACGCCTGATCCGTGGCCTCACTGCGGGGGGTGTCTGTGGGACGTGCAGGTTTCCCCACGCCGCCTAACAAGCGTGCGGGCTCCCATGCAAAGCACGCTGCAAAATGGCTCATCTCTTACAGCCTCGTTAGCATCTGCATTATAACGAGGGAGCCAGCAGAGGGCATGGAGAGGGATGTCACCACCATGCAGGGACAGAAATGGCTCATGCAACCAGGCCACACATCTGCCCTGCAAGACCCCAGCCCTCCTGGGCTTTCTGAGCTGTAGGACATTGGTTTGGTCCTGTAACTCCCTTCCCAACCTCTGCTGGCCCCACAGCTGGCAGTCCCAGTGCACCCCACCCCGTCTCCCACTCTGCAAAGTGCCTGGATGCCTATGGACACCCTGGGTGCAGGGGGAGAGGAGCCAGTGACATAAGTCCCCCTATTTCGGGCAAGCGGGAAGCTTGAGGGGGGAATCACGGTGCTGCTACAACCCCTATGCCCACCCACTGCGAAGGGAGGCTTGGTGCCCGGATCTCCAGCTGTGTTTCCAGCATTAGACCCTGCCCAGTGATCAGCTTCACCGTGTACCTGGATGGCTGCGAAGGCAGACGCTGCCACGTGTCTCTCCCCACTCCCCGCTGTCTGTAGGGATTAACGATGCCCCTCGTGCAAAATCCGTCGAGCCAAGGTCAGTCGGAGCAGCTGATTAAGGTGGCAATGCAGGAGTACTACAGGAACACCATCGACCCCGCTGCCTACTGGCCTGAGAAGTACTGGCCGACCAGGTCCAAAGGTACCACTGAGGTCCTAGCTGTCCCCCTGTGTCACACTGGGCACATCCCCATGGGATCAGGGGGGTGAGGTTGCTGGCTGTGGCTCTGTTCAATCCCCCCTTTTGCATCCTGCCTCTCCAGCCACAGTGGCGGAGGGACCCTGCCTCGGCACCTGCCCTTGTGGCTTTGCCACAGGCATCCGTCCCCATCCCTGCACTGAGACTGTCCCTGTCCCAGTGATGTCTGCAGGTCCCCAGGTTTCTCACCCCCAGTGGCCCCTAAATACCCCCAGATGGGAGGTGCTGCCTGGGGGACACCCTCTTTGCACCCCATAGCCCCTGAGACCAAGGCTGCATGGGCAGGGATGAGTGACCAACGAGCTGGAAGGGATGGGTGTCACCTCTACTACAGATCCTTAACAACAACCCTGGGAGCAGCATCTCTGACAAGCCCCCTGGCCCTGTGGCACTGTGTTTCGGGGACAGGGGGAACAGTCAGGACTCGCTGGCCGTCCCCCCGCATCCCCAGCACCACAGGACACCCCTGCCTATTGCTTTTGCGTTGCAGAGAAGTACAGCCCAGTTTTTGTCAACGAGGTCAAATACATCACCTGGAAAACAGGTCCCTACAACAGTGCAGCCTGGAATAAGCACTCCACTTACCTCCCACTCCTGCCCAAGGTAGACTCCGGCCCCCCTGGCCCCCCCAAACTGGAGCTGCCTCAGGTGCCACCGGCGCCTTGGGCTCTGCAGTGAAAGGGTGGCAATCCTGCAAGGGCTGCCATCGCTCCTTGCAGGAGACAAGGATGGACACCTTCCTGCACAGCACACTCATGCCGTACCCCGCAAAACCCACTTGCCTCAATCAATCTGGTAATTACCCTCGCCCTGTCCCTGTACTCCGGCTGTAGCTGTGCCTGTGCCATGCTGGCATCCATCTGGGAGACAGGCTGGCTGCTCCTCCTTCCCCTTCTCCTTGCCATGTCTCTGCTTGCAGAGAGAGAGGTGGTTGCTGACATGTACATGGTGCCTGTGTACACCATGACGGGGAGGGGACCCTTCCAGGGCTACTACAGCCCCTACTCTGGGCGCTACTACTGCCTGCGAAGGATGGACGGCTATGATGATGAGGCCCCTGCCATCAGAAGGCATCTCCACGAGAGGGCTGTAAGGTTGGGATGGTTTTGGCTGGGATGGTTTTGGTTGGGATGGTTTGGGATGGGATGGGATGGGATGGCTTGGGATGGGTTGCCTTGGGGTGGGCTGGGTTGGATTGGGTTGGGATGGGCATGACCTCCCTTGTCCCCGGGGCCACCACTCACCCTACCTCCTCTGTCTCTTGCAGGAGTATTCCATGCTGCAGTTACAGCCCCAGAGCAATGTTCTGTGCATCTACACATGGCCGCCCGCCATCCTCCCTGTGCAGGAGCCTTAGGTGCAGGCAGGCTCAGTGCGGGGGTGGGGAGGTGCTCCAAGCTGGTTGACCAGGGGAAAAGCCTATTATTTCTTCCTAACACTAGCCAGCCACTAGCTCTCTTTTCATTAGGGTTTCACACAACATTGCTCAGAGCATTATTCTGGGGATGATGGTGCAGACTGCAGACCCCGAGGGGTAGCAGGTCCCATCACAGCACCCATGCAGGCAGCAATGCAGCTGCTGCACCTCCGTCTCGCAGAATAAGTGGAAGTGACCAGGAAGGGCAGGACACTGCTGAGGTGCTGGGCTGTGGAGCATGTTGTTGGTACCCGTGGAGAAGCAGTTGCCAAATTTACTCCCAGGATGGGTGTTTCTATGCTTGGTCTCATCTAGCGGTCCTTGGGACTGTATGGCACCTGAAATCTTGCTGGCACCACTGAGCCCAGCTGCATGTAGCTTCGCATCTCCTGGATTTTGGGGCCACATCAGTGTTTCTTGTGTTGCTCTCATTGTTTGCTTTTCTTACCCAAAAACCCGTTCCCTGGTCTCACTGTTCGTTATGCAGTAATCAACCCTGTCCTTCACCCACTGCAGGTCTGGCAGCATCTTTTAATCCCCACGTTTAACTTTAGGATGTCTCTGTTGCTGAGGCAGCTTTTTTCAGCCCTAGGGAAGCATCGAGGAGAGAGGGGAGGCTGTTCAACCAGCTTAGTCATCACTCTGCTACTGCATCAGACCCCCCATGGGCCAAAATTAGGTGTCAGGCTTTGCAGAAAACGTGTGATTGGCTTTAAATTCCTGAGCCCAGAAACTAAAACCAAACAATAAGAAGAACAAACAGGGAGCACTGGGTTCCCCATAGATGCCCCTATGCCTGAGCCTTGGTGAGATGTTTCTCAAGGTCTTCTCCATGGAGAAACAGGCAGATTTTCCTGGACCACCATGGCTCTGGGAATGAAGGCTTTAGGAAAATGACAGTGCAAGGAGTGGGTGTTGCAGGGTGGGAGACCCACTGGAAGTAGGTGGCTGCAATGGCAATGCCAGGGAGCTTCAGCTCTTCTGCCAGGGCTTCGCTTTGGCCTCAGTGCCCAAAGACACACACCAAAGTGGATGGGGCAGCTGCATGTCCCCAGCTCACCCCTAAGCAATGCTGGCAGCCAGAAGCAGGGTTCCTGCTCTTCTTCCTCACTGGAGTTTCGTCCTCCCATGGCTGATAACTTCATCTGCTCTCCTAGGTGGGACACGAGCCACTTCAAGAAGACAGGAGGAGTCCAGAGAAGCAGCTACTCCATCCACCCCGAGTTTGTCTCAGAGGCTTACTCTGCCCCATGGTGCTGGTGAAGAGCAAAGATGGGCTTTCATTAAAACTGGCTTGGGCAACTGTGTCCCTCAGACCCTTTCCTACAGGCTGGGGAAGTTCTTGGGGAGGGGGGAGAAACTTCAGCGAGTGCCGGCTTGGTGGGTGCATTAACAGCCCTCAGGGGCTGGTACCCTGCCACCATCCGCAAGCTGGTGTCCAAGAAAACACACAAGGAAAAACTCTCAGTGCATAGTAACACAGCCAGAAATAGAAGCAGTCGCTGATACCCGGGTTTGTCAGCTTCGTGCTGGGCTGCTTAGGACGTGCTTGCTTTTGCCAAGCTATCCAGGAAGAGCTGCCACCCATCTGGGATACCGAGCATGGACACGGGCTAAATAAGGAGGGCGATTTGAAAGCAGCACATAATTAATGAAGGCATGAAATGCCCTTCTCTGACCACGATCTGGGAGCCCAGTGTCAGCGTGGAGCACCGCCCGGGCCTTCCACGGTCTGATCGTAA